AAGGCTTGCAACTTGGAGTTTTGTGAGCATTGTGTTAAAGGGAAACAGACAAGGGTTAAATTTGGTACAGCGATCCATAATACTAAAGGCATTTTGGATTATGTACACTCTGATGTTTGGGGTCCTTCCAAAACACCTTCATTGGGTGGGAAGCACTATTTTGTAACATTTATTGATGATTTTTCCCGAAGAGTGTGGGTGTATACAATGTAGAGCAAAGATGAAGTATTGGGAATTTTTCTCAAAGGAAGACGATGGTGGAGAATCAAACAGGCAGGAGGATCAAGTGTATTCGCACAGACAATAGAGGTGAATACAAAAATGATCATTTCAATAAGGTCTGTGAAAAAGATGGCATCGTCCGGCACTTCACTGTCAGGCATACACCACAACAGAATGGAGTGGCAAAACGTATAAACCGGACCTTGCTGGAGAAGGTACGGTGTATGTTGTCCAATGTCGGCTTGGGAAAAGAATTTTGGGCTGAGGCAGTTACATATGCATGTCACCTCATTAATCGCTTACCATCTGTTGCTATTGATGGCAAGATGTCATTTGAAAAATGGTATGGAAAGCCTGTTGTAGATTATGACTCTTTGCACGTATTTGGCTCAACTGCATATTATTATATACAGAGTCAAAATTGGATCCAAGGGCAAAGAAGGCTATTTTTATGGGGATTACTTCTTGAGTCAAAGGATATCGCTTATGGTGTCCTATGACAAAGAAAGTAATATTCAGCAGTGATGTTACCTTTGATGAATCTGCTATGGTAAATAAGGTAACAGAAGATACCAAACAAAATGAGGGTGCTTCTAAGCAGGTGGAGTTTGAGGGAAAATTTATTTTTCCTACACAAGAAGCAGAGGAGGAAACAAATGAAGATTATCCTATGGAAAAAGATCCAGTAGAGAGGGAGATTCCAACTCAAGAACCTCAACAACAACTTGAATCAATTGCAACTAGCAGGCCAAAAGGGACAATACCAAAACCTGTTCGTCTTATAGAGACGGTTGCTTATGTCGCCTCAATTGTAGCTGATGATGTTCCTACCACTTATAAAGATGCAGTCCAAAGTTCAGAAGAAGATAAGTGAAGGATTGCCATGAATGATGAAATACAATCCCTTCATCAGAATCATACATGGAGATTGGCCAATCTCCCGAAGGGAAAAAAAGCAATTGGGTGCAAATGGGTATTTGCAAAGAANNTTATATGTTGAGGATATGTTGATAGCTTCCAAGAATTCAGAAGAAATTGATAAGTTGAAGATTCAACTAAAGAAGGAGTTCGAGATGAAGGATCTAGGTGAGGCAAAGAAAATTCTTGGCATGGAGATAATAAGAGATAGACGTTCAAAGAAACTTTGTTTATCTCAGAAAAAATATTTGAAGAGAGTACTGCAGCGTTTTAGCATAGATGAGAAGACTAAGCCGGTTAGTACTCCACTTGCTCCCCATTTTAAGCTAAGTACTACTATGTCGCCAAAAGATGAAGCTGAACATGAGTATATGTCAAGGGTACCATATGCAAATGTTGTTGGTAGCTTGATGTATGCAATGGTCTGTACGAGACCTGACATTTCACACGCTGTTGGAGTTATTAGTAGATATATGCATAATCCAGGAATGGAGCATTGGCAAGCTGTGAAGTGGATTGTACGGTATATTCACAATACTGTAGATGTTGGGTTAATTTTTGAGCAGGAAGGCAATCAGTCTGTAGTTGAATATTGTGACTCAGATTTTGCGGGTGATCTGGACAAACGAAGATCAACTACTGGTTATGTGTTTACTTTTGCAAAGGCACCAGTTAGTTGGAAGTCTACTTTGCAGTCAACAGTTGCTTTGTCTACAACAGAGGCGGAATACATGGCTATTACAGAGGCTGTGAAAGAGGCAATTTGGCTCTAGGGGTTGCTAAAAGAGCTTGGTGTTGAACAAAAAAGTATCACAATTTTTTTTGATAGTCAAAGTGCTATTCAATTAGCGAAGAACCAAGTTTATCATGCAAGGACGAAGCACATTGATGTTCGGTATCATTTCGTATGAGAAATCATAGAAGAAGATGGAGTCACGGTGAAGAAAATTCATACTACAGAGAATCCTGCTGATATGCTGACAAAAGTGGTGATTGCGATCAAGTTTCAACATTGTTTGGATTTGATCAACATTGTTGAACACTGAAGATGAAGACACAACCAAAATTTGTTACCGAGAGAAAATTGAAGATGTGGAAATTTGCCAAGGTGGAGATTTGTTGAAAATGGCAAACTCCCACATCGGTGGGAGACTTAATTTGGGAAGAATTTCTCCCTATAAAAAAAGGCCTAATGTTTAGGATTTAAACACACCTCTCATTTGCCTTCTTATCTTCTTAAGGCATTTGTATCTTCTCTCTTTAGTATTATTTCACTTGTATTTTTGGGGTGGAATAAAATGTTGGTTGTGTCCGAGGAAGTAGGCAAAATTGGCCAAACCTTGTAAATTCTGGTGTTCCTTTTATTGTTGTTTTATTGTCTTATTTATTATTTGATGGCTGCCATAATTTTTGGTATAGTAATTGTGACTCATTCACAGTATATACATTTGGCTTCCGCAACAGAAATCATGAAAGACTTGGGGAAGAATATTGTTTAATCAACTAAGCTTAAACTACCACTTTTGCAACTTATTGTAATATTTCAGAATACTTTTACGTTCAGACGATGAGGAATTTGAGTTACCTAAAAAGACTGAATCTATTTTGTCACATTAGAGGATCTAAACTTACCCGCTATAAAATAAAGTGATATATAAGCTTTACCAACGTAGTATTAAACACAAACCTAGTATCTAAAGCTTTATGACTTTATTGTTATAGTAGGTACGTAATTAATGTCCAATTAATTTATAGAACAAAAGTATTTTTGTTACGATGGGTAAAATTTAATGATTTTCTTATGAAACAAAAATATATATTATCCAGTGGTGACTATACGTGAAACTAACCCTAACTTCAGACAGACAAAGAAAGGGCATTTAGAGTGAACATTACCAGCAAAATTGCTTTGACATGGCGACGATCAAACTCAGCTTCTCCAGAGTGCATAATGCTCATCAGTGTATCAACAATATCTTTAGCTTGCTTATGCTCATTAGTGGATTGATGAACATGTTCGTCGATAACTCTCTCCAAAAATTCATCAAAAAGCTTAGCTAATTCTTTCATACGACGAGTCAATCGTTGGAGATCAAGCACACGAAGAAAAGGAATGTAATCACCAAGTTTTGGCATCGCTATTATACGCAGTCTCTTGAACCAGAGCCTTGAAACCCTTCTCGCCAAGATCCTCGTCCATGTACTTCTTCCCAAATAACATCATGCACGCCATGTTTGTGCTAAGAGATCCAATTTTATCACTAAGATTCACGACAACATCGCCATCAGAAGCAGCCGCCTGTTTGAGGAAATTCACAAGAGTTCCAACTTGTTGTTTCCTCATAGGCTGAAAAGAATGGATCTTGACATTGCTAAGCAATTGTAGAGTGCACAATTTACGCATATTTCGCCAATAAGGTCCGTACTTGCTAGAGACAAGATTTCTCTGATTATAGAAAATGTATTGAGAAACTTCACTGTAAGGTCTACTAGCAAAAACAAGATCATGGTTTTTCAAGAATTGTTCTGCAGCATAAGGAAAGGAAGCAACAACGACAGGAACAAGACCAAATCGCATGGACATTATGGGACCATATTCCTTGGCTATTTTATAAAAATCTAGGTGAAGATTCCCAATAAGTGGAAGTCCTCTTGGTCCTGGAGGAAGTTTCTTCTTCTTCCTCATTAATTCTTGAAGAAAATAAGCAAGCATTGCAACTACTACAAGAGCTAGCCAAATAGAAGCCATGTAAGCAAGCCAAATAATGTTGCAATAGGCCAATTTCTAGTAGTGATATAAGACAGATAAATTAAAGCAGTTGGAGTATTTCATTAGCACTACCTAATTGCAAAGTAATGAAATATTTGCGCCTTAATAAGTATTACTAGGTACAAACTATCCCTAATCCTAAGCATGGTGGTTCGGCTATCTATTGGAGTTAGGCAATAATTAATGAAGTTAGATATATATTAAATTTAAAGATTGAACTAATTGGAGCAAATAGTAGTTTTCTCTTCCTGTTTTTCGTTTTAGACGTCCAAAACCGTATTATTGAACTTCTTTTGTACTTCTTGTCATGATTAATTTAAATGAGTAACAATAATTCGGGTAAAATTCAAAATAGCCAGATTATAAGTGGTAATTGAAAAATAGTCACAGTTTCAAAAGTAATCGAAATTTAGTCACTTTTCATATAAGGATAAATCTAAACGAAAACACTGTTCAAAATCCGGAAAATTTTCCAGCATAATATGCTGGAAGTTCATACACAGATGCTCAAATCTTCAATATATTGTGCTGGAACTTTTTGTGTGTTGGAGTTTCAGCATATTATGCTGGAAGTTCATACCTATGTGCATCAACCTCCAGTATATTATGCTGGAACTTTCCGTGTTGCAGCAAAATAGTGGCTATTTTCAATGACTTTGCAAATGCTGGCTATTTTTCAATTACCAGTTCGAAAACTGGCTAACCCGTGCTATTTTTACTAATAATTCTGTTTTACTTTTACAAGGTCAAGTGACAAGTAAATTCAATTCTAAGATGAGGAATTGGTTCGGAAACTATCTATCTAGACTATAGGATGAAAGCAAAAAAAAAAAAAAAGTTATGAAATTTTGAAGAATTTGTAGATTTCAATGATCTTTTTTATATCTTTAATCTTTTAAAACATAATTACCATTCCATTTTTATCGTTTTAATAAAAATTTAAATATCCATTTATTTTTGTTACATATAGTACAAGTTATGGATGCCAACCTACTCCATTTTCTTACTAGAAACTAAGGTAAGCATGTTACAGATTTGTTAATGCAATTTTGTTAGTTCGTGAATTGGCTTTGATAAATGCCTAATTATCATAGGACCTAATACAAAAATTATACAAGTTTTATACATTTTTTCGGCTACTAAATGTAAATATTTCTGGCACAATCTAAAAGTGAAAAGCCTGATATGTTACTCCGGAGTTAGAGCATTTCGGCACCTGGAAATTCTGTCTACCACGTGCAGTTAAATTTATGCACCAATCGTAATCAGTCATAGATGTAGCAAACTACATTTAGGTCCAAATGAATTAGGAAAATGTGCATCATACGAACCCAAAACGAACAAGTTTGTCCAACAATGTGGAGAAAGGAAATGTAGGGACAAAGACTATAGAATGTTGAGAATTATTCTGTTCTAATTCATGGCTTATTAGAAGTAGAGAATGCCCTGGCGACATATTCATGGATAAGAAAACATTACAACTAGTTTGATAATTGAGTAATGCTGCTTTTTCTGCCCGAACCAAGGACTCACTTAATATAAGCTTTTATTCTTATCCTTGGTCGGAGATTTCTTTATAAAAATTATGAAGTTTGAAGAACGGGAGTAAGGAGTCGTTGACCTGGAGGATTTGCACCATCCTACCACCCGATTAGAACCCAAAAACAGCCAAGGTCAAATGTAGTAAGTAATTAGTAACATATTTATACTTTTCCGCACACTACATAGCAATAACGTAATTAAGACAGTTTCGTTTTGCATAGTGACAGACAGTTACATCCCAAACACCCTGGCAAATACATCGCCGGACCTGGACCCCTGGAATGTAAGATTTCCATTCCCAGCATAGTATCCGTTGAGACCTAATCTGTCATTTCTCTGAAGTTCCGCCATCCTGCCAACTTCATTTCTACATTGGAACTCATCCAAAACGTTATGATGGTAGCCATTAGAACTGTGGCCATTCGCAAGCTTCTGCTGGGATAAGTGTGCGTACAGAGATTGATCAAGGTTTTGCCGCTGATCCACCATCCTTGATGAAAAGCCACGTAAGTCATTTAGGCCAGCATACTCATCTGCACCGTGAAACCTCTGCTCCAGATGTGCAGATGGAGTTTGTGAAGCAAGAACACGTGAGAATTTCCCTTCTTGATCAGCATAATTTTGTTGCATCAGAAGCCAGAGCCTTGCCTCATCTTCCAAAGCTCTCCTCTGAGACCCAACTTCCAGGCCTGAGATACTTAAACCATTTGTTGGCTTGCCTTTACCACAACTTAGTATGGCAGGGTCAACAAAATCAGCCTCACCTGCAGTTCTAGTGCTTCTCGTTGATGGGGGGTGAATCAAATTTGATGAACTATTTACTAATTGACTTCCTGCATAGATAGAAGTAACTGTAAAAACCTATTGTCAAATTTTTTTTGAAACAGAAAAAGCTTGCCATTAAAATATCCAACAGGACAGGAGAGAATTACCAGAGAGAGTATGAGGGAATCCTCCAATTTCATCAGACAACGGAAAACCAGGAGGTAGGTCCCTTGAGGGTATTGAGAACCCGGGTGGAGCCAGACCTTTTGGTCTTGAGACTGCTAAGACAGTTCGAAAGATTCAGTTTGAAATTAAATGGGCCCAAAACTTAATGATATAATGCTTTCATATTAAAATGCTTAGCAGTAACATGGTACAGGAAATTAGGAGGTTCCATCACAAAACTCAATTAACTCATGAAAACGCACATGCACATATAAAGTCCTATGTAATTCCTTCTTGGAGCACATTTTGCGGCCTAACAAACCATTTCCTCCCTAGAGATCAATACCAAGCAGAGCTAGAACTTTTTAATATTCCTGCTAGTGCTGTCAACAGTTTTAACTAGTTGAATTATAAAGTGGCAATCAAGTATTAGGTGAAATGCTTGTCAGAAAACATACCAAAGCAAATTAAATTTTAATGCAAGAAGAATGATGCGCAAGCAGCACTAAGTTTAGAAACTAGTTTAACCCTGGTTTACAATAACTGTGATGATGGACGGGAATTGAGATGTGCCAGAGCATTTGGTCCCCCACCTCCCACCCCCACCCAAACTGCCACTTCTGGGCTGTTCAACTCTGTCCCGATAAAAGATCTCACACCCCCACCCATGTATTCCTCACCAGACAACTAGCCCACCCTGCCCCTGCCCCTGCCCCTTGGCATCTTTTTTATTGTATTGTACACTTAACTCTGCCAAAGAAGAAGTAAAGGCACCACCTTTGTTTCTTTGTTTCTCTGAATTAAACTTGAATCCTTTTGGCTCAATCTAGAGAATTGGCAGGGGGGAAGGAATTTTATGGTCTATAGTGGTATAATATGCTTGAAGATAGAGAAGCAACCAACAAAGGTAGATGATGGAGATTTAGTAAGCAACAGTAGCGCATGAGGAAGGACTTGAGAAGAGACAGCCTGAGAATAGCCGTACAACTGTGAGCCTTGGTTCAAAATTTACCGCCAAAACATTTCCTTTTGGCCCAGCTATAAGTTGCCTAACAATTTTGTCACCCAAAAGGAACCATGGCTCATGTCTCTCCTGTATTGTATCAAAGAGGTCAGATATAGGCCCCCTCTTTCTTTATAGGTGACTGTTTGATACAACACATTATATTCAGACTAAATCTGACTATAATTTTTTATTAAAAAAAAACTCAGTCCCGCTCTACAGCTGTAGCAAAAACCATTATTCTACAGCTCTGCAAGTCACTCCCTTACCCTGCTAGCAGGTCCACAGCCTCTGCAGCCCCATTTCCATCGCCGTTAAATAAAATGTTGTCTAGTGGATACAGGAAAAGACATCATACAATAGTACAACATAGGAGATTGCACTTGAAAGGAAAAGGAAGACAGACCCATGAATGACAAACGTAGGCAGCAAAAATCAACTACTTTAGGCATCAAATAAAGAAAAAATTCTGTTAACACTTACTCTGATACTGAGACTCATGCATATGCTGCTCTTTCCTTTCTCTGAAGTCATGAAGGATGGATGACTGATTTGACATCAGACTGATATTACTAGAAGAATCCAAATCAGCCCTTTGACTTGAAAACCCATCTTGCTTCATAAATGAGAACCCTTGACCACTGTGCAAAGAATTCCAGGAACCACGCTGCCCATTAGGTTCATTACACAAGCCAGTTAAACTGTGACGCGAAGTCAGGGAATTTTCACATGAACCAAAGTCCATAGCTAAAATGTTTGAAATTATACTGTTCTTCACGGGATTGAATGCAGAACTTTCATCAAAATTATTCAAGCTACCATTTTCAGTCCTTCGTAAGTGCTCCACTATTTCTTCATTGGAGAATGAGTTAGAACCTCTATAAATTGTATCAGACTTCACGGAACTTTGAAATTTCAGGTCATGTAATCCATCATTTAGTGTGGAATTTACACATGAAAGTGGCGGCAAAGTTTCTTCTGCTTGGTTATGTAATGATCTATGCTCCATGCCATTGATACTCGAACTACATGCCCTATGCAAGAGCGAATTGCCACCATAATCCTCTGTACATTTAGCAGAGCGGGATGACATAAGAAATGGCTCTTGACAAATACTATTCAAATCCTTCGATCGTTGACCATCAAAAGATGTGGAGTCTTCCCTGAATGGTTCATCTGAAATTTCTGTAGTGTTTTGATCCCTCAAATGATTGACAGGCTGGTTAGGAGACGGAACTTCAAATAGAACTCTATCAGAATATGTTTCTTGAGCATGATTATCTTTGTTAATTGGTATGGAAGATAGATTGGAACACAAATCCAAAATTCTACTATCCTCACTGCTATTTCCATCTTTCTCTGCACGAGAACTATTAGACAGTCCAACATCTACAAAACTTGTCATTCCGTTTGGTTCACCAGCACCTCCATCCTTATCGCTAGAAGGGACTACACGAGCCATATAGCTACGGTGATCCACTGTATCATTAGTTACACCCTAAAATCACAAAAAGGATGTGGTGAGAATGTTTTCAGTTCAAGCCA